GGAGGCAGATAGTGGGCAGACTGGGAAAGCCAGGCAGGATGGGTGTGCTGTAGGGGACGCCCAGGCTCCGTGGGCGTGTGGAGGCCGGTGGCTTCCGCCTTGGGCACGTCCCCTCAAAGGCTCTAAGACAAGCAGCTGAGCGGGGCCAGCGAGCGCTCGGGACGGCCCTGGGGACAGGCCCCCTGGCGCGTCCTGCTCCCTCTGCTCTCCACGCTGCCTCCAGCGTAGTCGCCTGTCCCTGGAGTTTCCTCTGGACAGTCCCCACGCTGAGCGCAGGATGCTGTGTGGCACACAGGTCGGGAGGGGCCAGGGCGTTCTGCGGAGCAGCCAGTCCTGAGATCCCAGTGGCTCAAAACCGCAGCTTCCTTTCTCACCCGCTATGAGTCCGGGTACCCTGTGGGTTGGTGGGGGCTCTGCTCCCCTCTGCGCCAGTGTTCCCTTTGTTCGAGAGCATGCATTTTTAGAACATTGCAGGCCACAGTGGCAGAGAGTAAAGAGAAGACCAGTTGCACCTTGCATGGGCGTTAAATGCCCCGGCTGGGGTCTGTCCTCAGGTCACTAGTGGGGCTGCTCAGCCAGTCACCCAGCTCCATCTAGCCATAAAGCCGGGGAGAGCAATCCTGTTCAGAGCCTGGAAGGAGAGGGCCTAAGTGTCTGGTGGCAGAGACACCCAGGCCTGGAGTGCCTGCCTCCCGTCTAACCTGGTCCCTAACCAAGTGCCACCCCCTCCAAGAGGCCTTCCCTGATTGCCTGGGCCCTGGCTGTGCGAGACAGGAGAGGCAGAGGCCTGTGTGTCCCCATGTTTCCACCTGGGCTGGAAGGGACTTTGTGGGCATTTGAGAGAAACAGGCCTGGGGAGAAGAGTTTCATTTCAGGCATGTTGAGGTTGAAGTGCCTGGGGGCACCTAAATTTAGGAGCCAGGTCAGGGTTAAAGTTGATTGTGCTGGAATAATAGTAATGGCAGGTCATACTCACTGAGCGCTGCACGAACCGGGTGCCGCGCTAAGCACTCTGCCTGCATCGCGTTGCCTTTTCATCATCATGTGCGGGAAGCACTGTTTTATACCCATTTTACAGATGAGGAACATAGGTTCAGAGAGGTAAGTAAATTGCCCAAGGTCTCACAGCTACTAAGCTGCCAAGCTAAAACTGAACCCAGGCGGCTCGACTTCGGAGCAGAGAAGAGGGAAAGAAAGGGCTGAACCCTGGGGAAGGAGGAGGAGGGGCTGGCCAAGGGGGAGGGCAGGAGGCGGGAAGCCACAGGCCAGGTGCTGCGCTGGCGCTGGGCCTTCACGAGCTTCCTGAGGGTTAGTGAAATGAAGATCACGTTCTGCAGAGGGGCGGAAACGGGGAGGGAAGCCAGCCGGAGGAGCCGGCATTTGTAGGCAGGGAGTGTTGCCAGTGATGAGGGACACTGCAGAGAGGCCAAGAATAATGCGGACCCAGAGGCCTTTGTGTCCAGGGCGGGAGCCAGATGGCACAAGATGAGGAGAGGTGGGTGGTAAGGAAGTGGGGGCTGGAGCTGATGCGGTTTCCAGCGAAGGAAGAGGTGGGAAGGGGCTGCTGTTGGAGGGAAGCAGGTGGGGCTGCATCCTTGTCCCAAGCGCAAGTGTCCGACGGAGGTGGGCCGGGGGCCTGATCGGGGCCCTGGGTGTGACTTGCCTGCTTCTGCCTTGAACTTGCCATTCTCCCTACCCTGGCCTGGACCCTCCTCCCACTAACTTGGCGGAACCCCTCTATTCTCTGGGGTCCAGATCAGATACAGCGTCTGATCTGGCCCTGCCTCACCGGGAACGGGTCCTGCCCTCTGCCATATAGAACCCTTGCCTTATAGAGGCTCTGTCTGCGCTGTGATCACAGAGGCTCTGGCAGGTGCCAGACGCTGTGCCAACCACCTGCTTCTCATGACTGCCTCGGACGTGTAGATGCGCCCTTGCCGTTCCCAGCCATGCCCAAGGTCGCGTAGCTCATAAACGCCCGTATGTGTGTGCTTTCCTCCCCACTAGAGGGTAGGTTCCTAAGAGAAGGATCTCTGATTTCTGGTGACGCCAGTGCCTCAGACTCACTGATTCAACACTGAGCACCTACTGTGTGCTAGGCACATAGTTGCTGTTGGAGGAGGTAGACCTGTGAACGGGCAGAGGAGGGCTCAGATTCAGCAGGGTCAGCTCTACAGAGGGACGTCCGTGCCGTGGGAGCCCAGGAGCGCGTGACCGGGCACCATAGTGGTCCCATTCGCAGTGGGTCTTGAAGACTACTTAGGAGTTGGCCAAGGGCACGGAGACTATTCCAGTGTACACAGAGCTTCCGGTTAAGGGCCCGAGAGAAGCTCCGCCTGGCCGGAGAGAACTTGGGGCTGGTGCCGGGGAAGGACGCGTGAGACCGGACCAGAGGGCAGTGGCCTGTAAACAGCTTTTGCCAAGCCAAGATGGCAGCAGGGTCCCAGTGAGGGAGCAGCAGAGAGGCTGGCGGGCTGAGGCAGCAGGATTCAGTTTGCTTGAGGAAGCTCACCAACTTGTCCTTAGGGAAGGGGAGTCGAAGGGGCAGAGGGTGGGGCGGGGGCACGGGAGGAGGCTGAAGCTCCTGGCTCAGGGACTCAGGCCTGAAATGACACGGGGGTGAGGGTGCACCCCAAGGGGCAGCCTGTCAGCTGTCACTGTCTGAGCTTAGTTGACGGTGTGACCTTTCGGTTGTGAACAGTGTTTGCCTTGAGACGGCCCAGGCCCTAGGCTTTCCCTTGGCAGTGACCTGTCCCTTCCCGCCGGCTCGGTCACCTCTGCTGTCGGCCCCGCTCCTTCCTGTCCCCCCACTGGCCTCCAGATGCCACATCCTTCCTTCTGGTTTTTACTATTAGACTTGAATAGGTAAATGCACTCCTACAGTTAAAAAAACACGTAAGAGGGTTTACATTGAGAATTATGCCTCTACTCAAAACAGGTAACCGTTTTTATTAATCTCTTGCGTACCCTTGTAGTTTCTTTAGAATGTAAACAAATGCAGAGATTCTTACTCCTTTTCTAAAGATTTATTTATTTATTTGAGAGAGAGCATGAGAGGGGGGAGGGTCAGAGGGAGAAGCAGACTCCCTGCCGAGCAGGGAGCCCGATGTGGGACTCGATCCCGGGACTCCAGGATCATGACCTGAGCTGAAGGCAGCCGCTCAACCAACTGAGCCACCCAGGCGCCCTCTTACTCCTTTTCTTACACAAAAAATGGCATACGATATGTTCCTTGTTTTACTGTTATTCTAGCAGATCTTTCTATAGGAAATATATTGGATACATTTGAAAGGTGTATTTCTGAATCTGTATTTTTTCCACCCTACCCCATGAGGTGTTTCTCTATCATTTAACAGAGGTCTAGTATCCCATCCTGTACTAAACTCTAATTTATTAACCAATCTCTACTTGATGGACTGGTTTCCAAACTACAAATATCGTTGTGGTGAACAGTCACGTGTTTGTTATTTGTAAGGTAAGTGTTCGTAAGTGTAATCATTGGCTCAAAGGGCAAACACCTTTCTCATTCTGGTAGACTTGGCCAGATCCTCCCGAAGGGTTTACCACTGTATACCCCACCTGTCATCTGTTAGCCCACCTGTTTCTCCATAAACTTGCCCAAAGCGTGTTGTTTATTTTTTGCATATTTTTGCCCTTCTCATAGGTGCGAAGTGGTATCTCAGGAGAGGTTCTAATCTGCCTTCTCTAATTCTGAGCAAGGCTGAGCACGGGCCATGTCTTCAGGACTCCCTGGTGGGCTCGGTTTTGGAGTCCTGGGAATGAGCCCGTTTTCCCAGACGGGGAAGCTCCATCGGTGGCCCCTCGCCTGAGGGATGCTGGGCCTCCTCAGCCCGGCCCTATTTTCTTTGCAGACAAGCATGAGACGAAGCTGAAGGGGGTCATCTACTTCCAGGCCATCGAAGAAGTGTACTATGACCACCTGCGCAGTGCGGCCAAGGTGAGGGCGGGCCGCAGGGGAAGGGGTGCGCCCAGCAGCCTGTCTTCTCGAGTCCTGGACCCCTTCCTCAGCCTCTTTGTAAACTCTCTCTTGCTCTCTCCCTCTCCCCTTCTCAGAAGAGGTTTTTCAGCTTCCCTGTGGTGACTGAGGTACCCCTCCCTCCCTACCTGTAACCAGAACTGCACATTAATGCCTCCTGGCCCCTCCTGGCCCCTGACCCCTTACTCTCCCCACCCAACCCCCTTCCCCGGGCCTGAGGGAGGAGCAGCGGGGGCTGCAGGGAGCCCCTGTGGGCCTGAGGGGCTCGCTGCCCCCTCTCCTGAGATGACAGCAGGCCTGTGGGGAGGTAGGTGGCGCCAGAGGGATGGCTGCGAGGGGGAGGAAGGGCTTCTCAGGGACGGGGTTGGGCTGACGGGATTGATAAAGGGGACAGGTGTGAAGGCTGGGCTCTCCGCCCTCATGCAAAGCAGCCTCCCTGCAAGCCTCTGGTGCCGCCTCAGCCCTGATCTCTGCTCCTCTGGGGTCCTGGGCCCAGCATCCCACTTGCAGCTTTTCCCATCTGCCCCTCTGGTGCCGAGGGGAGGCTTGGGTCCTCACTGGAATAGGCCTCTGCGTCTGATTCTGTTGATACTCACTTTTGTGCCCAGGGGTGCCCAGAAACAGAGCCCCCCCCCCATGGTAGGGTACGGCCCAGGTGTGAGGAGGGGAACATCTCGGCCTGGGGCCCCCTTGACGGGTGGGCACTAGGTTTGGGGCCTGTTTGGGACTCCGTCTCGAGCTCCAGGGCACCCTGGAGCCAGGGAGGGCAAAGGGCAGACGGAATGTCAGCGGTGAGCCCTGTCTTAGACCTTCCTCCCTCCCGGCGCAGAGCCCGAACCCAGCCCTCACCTTCTGTGTGAAGACCCATGACCGGCTGTACTACATGGTGGCGCCGTCCGCAGAGGCCATGCGCATCTGGATGGACGTCATCGTCACCGGAGCTGAGGGCTACACTCAGTTCATGAACTGACCACACCACTCCTGGCGTGGGCCTCCTGGACCCTCAGGCCAGCCCGCCTGCTGCGCGGCTCGGCCCCTGGAGAAGAGCCGCAGCCTGGGCCCCAGGCCGCGCACGAGTGCTCCCAGAGCCCTTGTACAGGCCTTGGTACTGTTCTAAGGAGCGGGTCCTGTGAATGTCTGAGCTCAGGCCCCCTAGAGAACCAGCCAGCAGATAAAAAGTGGGGAGGCTCCCGGGAACTCAGAATTTGCAATAACCCTTCAGGGTCCTGCCCCAGGCTGCGGAACTGGCAGAGGGAGCCTCAAGCTCTGACCTGGCACCTGCGCTCCCCAGCCTGTGTTTGCCTTCGCAAAGGACAAAAGATGGTACCAGAATCTGCCAAAGATCCCCTCTTGCCTCAGCCCCCCCGTTGCAGGGCCCTTGGGGGCTGAGGAGAGCCACCTCCGGAGTGGGGGAACAGCTCAGGCGGTGTACTTCTCAAACCCCGCTCTCCCGCATTTTTGTTATTACTTTGTTCAAGGGCCAGAGACCTCACGTGTCAGCCTTGAGGTCCCAACCCCATACCCATGGCCGTGGCTCTGTGGCTTTGCCCATGCCCATCTGAGGGTACGTACCAACATCTCTCCAGCTGGGGGGGAAGGGACCAAACCCCCCCTCCAGCCCCCAGTCCAGCCCTCTCCCTTCCACTCGTGCCTTGCTTAGAGCCAGAAGGGACGAAGCTCGGACATCCAGAGACTGGAGGAGGAGGGAAGCGGCAGGGAGAGGTGGCTAGACGGGTTCTGTACAGGCTGAGTGTCTAACGGGTGGAGGGCTGCTCAGACGCCCCCGGGGGGGACCTGAGCAGGAGAGGAGGCAGCAGAGTGAGAGGACCCTGAGGTCTGGCTGCCCTCCCTTCAGCCTCGGAACGGTGACAGAAATGGGGAGCAGAGGACCAGGCCACCAGCTGTCTGGCCTCGGCCCTTCATGCCTTAACACTAAGCCCACCTCCCTGCCCACCACTGGGCCATGGCTACTGGGCCCCGGGCTGGGTGATTTTCAGTATTTGTAAGCATCTCAACAGAACAATAAAGCATTTGGAGTATGTGTTTGGGAAGCCAGGTTGCATGGGGTATGGGACTGTGTCCCCACAAAACAGGACGTCCCCCTTACTGATGTTCCAGGAGGGACAAGGGCCCAACCCATGACTTCTAGGTCCCTCCCCTGACCCCACTCCAAGGACTGGCTGGGGGTGGGGGATGGAAGATGAAGAAGCAGGCGAAGGTAGGGACTCACGCAGAAGTTTAATGAGGCAGACGGGGCAGGGAGGCCCATACTGTGGCAGGAGGCTGAGCAGAAGGGCAGCCGTGAGGCAGGGGCCTCCAGGAAAGCTGTCTGGGTCCCTGAGCTCAGCCGGTCACCATAGCGGTCCAGGAACATCAGGACCACTCCACTGGTCCAGCCAAGGCCCTCCTGGAGAGAGACAGGGTCAGTGGGGCAAGATCTCTGGGGAAGGCCCCAAATCCTTTTAGGGGCTGTGAGATCCCCACCCAGAGGCTCGAGAACTGCCCAGCCCCAGGGGTGCAAAGGAGCTCCAGTCAGCCTCCTCCCTGGGGACCCACATACATGGGAGGAAACCGAGGCCCAGACAGGGGAGGTCATGGCCAGTTGTGGGGACAACACAGCCAGCCCTGGAGTTCCCAGTAGGATGTGGGCCCACTCACCTGAACTTCATACTCCCCTCCACCACCTGGCTGACCACCGCTGCTGATGTCATACTGGGAACAAAAGGACAGGCTCCCCACCTCAGCCCCCCAGGGGGAGCAAGAGATGGGAGCCCCTTTGGGAGAAGCTGCTCTGGCCGGCAGCTCTGACCCCTGCAGTGCCCAAGAACGGCCACCGGGCGTCACCACTGTCCCTGGGCTTGGCAAAGCCTGGCATCCCCCCAGCTCACCATGGGGAGGAGCCCAGGAGGCTCTGGGCTCAGGAGCAGCTCACCTCAAACATGGCTGACTTTTGGGAGTAGAGACCTCAAAGTTGGTTCGGATCCAATTCTGAGCCAGCTGGAAAGCCACTTCCTGGGCCCGAGGTGAAGGAGACTTGGCCAGACCTAGACCCCACCCCAGGCAGGACACTGAATCTCCTGAGTCCCCTGGGATGGCCAGAGCCTTTCTCTCCTCAAGGAGGGAAAGAGGCCTGGGCCCTAAGACCTCCATCGTGAGCCACATGAAAAGCCAATGTGCTCCTTCCCCAGGGCCTGGCTTTGGAGGGAGAAAGGAGGGCTGGTTCCCTCTATCAAAGGTCTGCTGAGTGGGAAGCCAAGAGACCAGAAGAGCCAGAGAAAGACCCTATGTGCTTTGTTCACACCTCCCCAGCACCAGGAGGCCGACCCTCCAGATGCAATGGGGAAAGGCCCTGGGATATGCCCCATCCCCACCTCCCTACTCCCTACCTTTGATGACCAGGTCCTGCAGGGGGACCCAGGCATTGGGCAAGCCCCACTGCTGGCCTGTTTTCTGGGGAGAGGTCGGGATCCCGTACTCGTAGGTCAAGATCTGGCTGTCCTAGAGGGTTCCAGACATTTCTAGGGCTGTGGGTGGGGGCTGGATGAGGAGCCAAGAGGCTGGGCCCTCCTCAAGCCAGATGTCCCCCTTCCTGGGCTTTGTCCTCTTGGCTCACAGTTGCCCCCTGGTGGCTCCAGCGGGACCCGCAGGCTCAGACCCAGGGGTGGGGCAGGAGGGGGTGGCTCCACTTGCCAGAGGTCCCTAGTTCAGACTCAGGGAGAGAGCAGGTGGTTCTGCCCCCAGTATACCAGCCTGCTCTGCTGCCCCCCTCACCTCCAAATACTTTAGGGCCTTGTCCACAGCGTCTGGGTCAGAGAAACAGACCAGAGAGGAGTGAGGTTGGATGGGTAAAACTCTAGGTTCTTCTTTCCGTTCTCAAGGTCATAGTCAAACCAGGCCCCTTTCTCTTCATCCCACAGGATGGCTCTCATGGCAACCAAGCGCTGTTGCGACAGATTTCTGTACTTTGTGGCTTGGATGTCGTTCCCTGGGGTGACACTGTCTTTAGGCTGAGCAACCGAGGTGCCTGACCTTGGGTCCCATGCCTTCCAGAAAGAGGTCAACCTTGGCCGCCTCCTGTTGTCCTCCCCAAGGGCTAGAAGTCCTGACACCAAGGGGACATGCAGACCTGGAGCCCACATTTCCGGCCTCTAGGATCTAGGAGTTTCTGAGCCATGGCCCTATAGGGCTCTCAGGACCTGCACTGGCCTGCTCCCGGGCCCGTCCTAGGAGGGCACTGGCCGTGTGTATTTCCCTAGCTCCGACAGGTCCGAGGGCAATTGTTTGGGGAGAGAGAATGGAGGGAGTTTGAATGTGTGGACTCAGGTGTCCTCTCGTAGACCCTAGGAGTCCCTCCCAGTAAGAAAGGGAGGAGGGTGAGTGGAGTGTGGGCTCCATACGTACTCTTGCCCTAGGGGTGAGGTACGGAGTGGGCTAGGAGGCTGGAGGCCCTTCATTCAAGGTCCTACTTCCAGCTCCACGGCCAAGGCTGAAGCAGGACCCAAGCCGCCCCTCCTGCTGGCTCACCCAGTCTGGAGTAGAAGTTGCTCATCAGCTCCTCTGCCTGGCACAGGAAGGCATTGAGGTCAACAGGCACGAATTTGCTGGTGCGGATGCTGCTGAGCGATGTAGGGTCTGGGCCTCCGACAAGCCACCATGAAGAGAAGTCCCACCCAGACTCAGCCCCAGCCTTGAGCTCAGCCCACAGAGCCTCCTGGTCCCCTGTGAGGACAAAGCAGCAGGGGACGGGGTGGGGGGGGGCGGTGGCAGGGAGGGCCAGGGCTCGACACCCAACACCAGGCTCTCAGCCCCACCCCGATCCCTGACCTTGTTATTGCTCACCTTCTGGCAACGTGTCTGCCAGCTCAGCATCTTTGCTGTAAGACTCTGGCCTGGAAGAGGAAAATGGGCATCCTGGCACTAGGAGCCTCTAAGTGCAAGCTGGAGGCTAAGCCATGTTGCTCCAACTGCCCTTGGATTGCCCTTCGTGGGCCCTGGATTGCCCAGGGCTTTCAGTATCAGCATCTGAGAGGCAGGGCTAAGTCATGGCCCTCAGACCAGAGTGAATCACGAGAGACTGAGAGGTTGGCAGGCGGCTCCTTACCTGGGTCCCCCATAAGGGACAGCATAGTGATTCAGAACGTAGCACTCGCCCCCCCCTCCCCCGAGCTCACAGAGATGGTCCTGTTCTCCATCCAGAAGTCCAATTCCAAGGCTAGGCTCCCGATGTTGTCCCTGGGGTGGAGCCAGGCACCGCGGCAGCCCAGGCACGGCCCCTCAGTCCCACCCTGGGAGGTCCCAGGAGGGCGGCCTGCGGGGCAGCAGGGGGGCCGGGGGGCCCACCGGAGGAAGGCGGTGTCGGTGTGGGTCACGTAGCGGTCCATCGTGAGAGTCAGGAGGGGGGGCTGGCTCGGCTGCAGGTAATACACGCGCGCCCGTTGGGGACCTGTCTGTAGCTGCCAGGAAGGACGCGGGCTGAGGTGCGAAGGCCAAGGCCAATCCGGCGCCAAGCCCTTGGCACCCCCTTCTCCGCCCCAGCCTTGAGGGGCCCGCCCCCCCTTACATCTGCACCAGGTCCAGGAAGTTGTGCAGCATGCCCTTCACCATCCCGGGCATCTCAGAGAGGAGCAGCCCCTCCATCACCCAGTAGGAGTCCCTGGGGAAACGGACAGCTCACGCACCGGCCTGGGCACCCGGGCCAGTCAGGGTGCCCCCCTCTGCCCGGGTAGCCCGCTGGCCCCGGGCTCCCCGACTCCCACCCTGCAGCCTCGGCCGCTCACCAGCAGTAGAACTCCACCAGGCGCCCGCCAGGCACGCTGAAGGGGTGTGCCGAGTAGATCAGAGAGAACTGCCCCGGCTGGCTGAGGACCTCTGGCCTCACCTGCAGTCGGGACGGAGGGCACAGGGAGCCCACGGGCCCCGCCGTGTGGAGGCCCTGGCGGCCGGTGCAGGAGTTCTGGCTCTGCGGCTGGTCAGCCACGTGGCTTCGGTCAAGGCCGGAGCTGCCGCAAGCCAGGTCTGCTCGGCCCCACAGGCCGGCCTCTGGAGTCCCTGCTAACTCAGCCCGGCCCTGGCAGGGGCTCACCAAGCGGCGGCCAGTATCAGGACCAGGTAGGGGGACTGTTTCCTCCACTCCCCTTCCCTCATCTCTGCTGCCACCACCCAGTCCTGACCTGATTAGCTCCCGGAAGAGAGAGCCTAGGTGGGCAGCCTGGAGGTGGCAGGTGGGGATGGGGGAGGATGGTGAGGGCTTCAGGGAGAAGGTGAGAATTTAGAAGTAGGCATTCCCTTCTCCCCTTCCAGAAATTCTTCTTAGAGAGCTCCATTCAAGGACCCAGCGTGTGGGGGGCTGTCTTCTTAGAAAGTGCGTCCCAGTCTGTGCTCTAAGGGCAATGGGGCCCCAAGCTGGCATCCCCCTCTCCCAGCTCCATCCCCTGGGCTGAGACCCAGGAGTGGATACCTTCTTTCCCAGTTTCTTCCAGAGCTGGTGGAGCTGCCCTGCCCAGGCTCGCAGCTTGGGGTCTGAGATCTTCTGCAGGAACCGGGACTGGAAGAACGCTGACCTCACAGGGTTCAGGCAGGCAGGCCTGTCTGAAGGGCCCACTCCTGTTTCCTGTCCAGGAGCTACCTGTCCTTCCAGTCCTCAGGAGTCCAGGACTGCAGCTCCTGCCCCACGGCCTGGTAGTGCTCTTGCACGAAAGCCTGCAGCTGCTGCGGGGGGTGCTTGGGTTGTGGGCGGCGGCCAGCTCACCAAAGCGCTGCAGAACCTGGTCGGGGGTCCAGGTGGCAAGGAGGGGTCAGGTGGACCCCAGGAGCCCCTCCCTGATGGAGGCCCCTCTCTGCCTCGTCTCGCCCTCTGTCATCTTTGGTGCAGAAGCTTTAGGAGGTGGGGCCCCCCTGTGCCTCACCTGGAGCCGAGGACAGTGGCATGTCCACAAACTGCTGGTCATCCCGGTAGAGCTTGGCCATCTGCATTTGGTGTAGGAGCTCCCCGTGGCAGTAAATCTGGCTGCGGACAGTGTCGGGGAGGGGGGCAGGTCAGGTCACCACCGTTAGGGGAGAAGAAAGGCTCGAGTCTGGGCACGTTCCCTGGCCTGGGGCTGTCATTGGGCCTGGGGAATGTGCGCGCCCTTGTGTGGTGCGGATGTGTGGGTGCTGGAGACATACCCCGCTGAGAGAACGAGGAGCGCCCTCGGCAATAAAGGATTTAAACAAGGGCCCAAGTCCACACTGGTTGGTAATTTGGCAGAGTGGACACCCAGTGGACGAAAGGAGAGGACCACTTGAATCAGTGACACATCAGAGGGGGTGGGACCGACTCTGTACAGCGGCCCTGGGCGAAACCGACCAGAGGGCTTCAGGCAAAAGCCTGCAAGTTACCCCCGGGGGTGACTGCTGAGACCTCGGGCCAGGGAATTTGCACGTGCGGTGTGGGATATGCATCATTCGGGAGACAGTTACCAGCCCGCTATTGGGCGTTTATGGAAACCTCCTTCTGCCTGGAGGACAGATCTTCCTGTGACCGGAAGTACCGACTGTGTCCTGAGTGGTGTCTCCGATGAAGAAGGCGGTGCCCCAGAGAGTTCCTTCATACGTGGGAAGGGTTTACACAGGAAGCGCTACACGGGCACCGCCCGGGCAGGTGGCGGGAGGCTCCCGAGGAGTCGCGGGAGGAGCCCTGTGGCGGCTCCCCACGACCAACAGAAAGCTGCTTGGCCGCCGACGGCTGTGCGAAGGCGGACAGACAGTATCTCGTCTGGATGGCTACTGCACTCTGACCAACTGAGGGCAATCTCTGAAGAACGTAAGAACAGGTCAGCTCGGTGGGCTGAACTGCATGCTCTTTCCCTTGCAGTGATGGAGACACTGAATGCGAAAAGCTCCTGTGTTGCTTTTAAGTAGACTCCATGCCCAGCATGGAGTCCAACACGGGGCTTAAACCCACAACCCTGAGATCATGACCTGAGCCGAAATCAAGAGTCGCACACTTAACCGGCTGAGCCACCCAGGCGCCCATGTTGGGGTGTTTACGGACTCAGGGGAAGGGAAAAACTGCACTAGGAAAGGGGATGCTCGCCATGGGGCATGAGCCTCAGGAAATCACTCCGGAAATTCAAGGGGCCCGTTAAAGTAGCTTTGCATTCCTGACTGTAGACGAATAGGCTTAAAATACTATATTGGAACAGAAGATACTGTGCCAGTTGGGTCAGCCATGGTTCCCACAACGGGCCAAGAGACGTGTCAAATGGACGCAGCGTGTAACGTGTCACCCTCCGAGTGCTGGCCTGATACAGAACCGGAACAGGCAACATCTGTGGTCTGAAACAGGGAGAGAGAAAAGCACGAAGGGCAGGCTTACACAGCGTCACAAGCATATGCTCACACTCAGCATGGAGTGGGAGCCAAAGGAGGGTCCCCACGGGATAGATTCGTCCGCTTTTCTGGGGGATATGAGGAGAGGCTGATGGCAGGACTCTACAATTCTTTCCCACATCATCTGCACTGACCTTGAGCCCACTAGGACCCGACCTGCCACTGTGGTGTCGGAAGCATGAATGGTCCGTAAGTAAGAGACCGTAGCTCTCTTTTCAAATCCTGATGGGTTGGGTTGTGCCCACGCCCCATGGGGCTAAGTGGGGGCTCACAGTGAATGGGGCTGTATTGCTCAGTGGCGGGAACAGCCCCCCATTCGGGGCTGTGTAACTCTATCTTCTACGGCCCTCACAAGGCTGGTTGTGCTGCCGGCGAGCTAGATGAGAGCAGTGGCTAAAGCCAACATCCCTTCCAAAGGGGGAAGAGTGGAGTGAAAATCAGTGCCACACAGAGAGGAGAAAGGCAGCTGAGGGCAAAGAGATGAACAGGCAGGTATTCAAGGGAAACGGGCAGTCTGGCATGCCACGAGTGCCTGGAGGGAGCGAGAGGTTACCTCGGTCCTTAGCACAATCACAGGGGATGCCTGGAACGGTGGGGCCCTGCGCCTGCCCTGCCCAGCCTGCCTTTGGAACCTGACAACGTTGATGGAAGCCAGCAAACAGGGCCGGAGTCGCTCTGGGAGACATTCTGGTCTCAGGATATGACGCTGAGCTAGAGTAACTGCTGACGACTGAAGGTGACCCGAGTGACGGGCCAGCGTCTTTCAAGTTTTTAAGATTACACCTACTATGAAGGGTGTCATCTGGGAAGGAATTTCCTGAAACTACTCCCCACTGGGTCTTTGGACTGGGTGGTCTACAAGTCTTGGCAGATGAATTGCCCTGTATACAACTATAAACCTTGAAAATCAAATACTTATAGAAAGGCCCCTGATTTTGGGGCACCTGGCTGGCTCAACCAGTTGAGCATCTTTTTTTTTTTTTTTTTTTAGAGACAGCAAGCAAGCAAGCACAAGTGCAGGGAGGGGGCAGAGGGAGAGGGAGAATCTCAAGCAGACTCCATGCTGAGCACAGAGCCCGATGTGGTGGGGCTCAATCTCATGACCACCCAACTGAGCCACCCAAGCGCCCCAAGCATCTGACTCTTGATCCCAGCTCAAGTCTTGGTCTCAGAGTCATGAGTTCAAGCCCCAAGCTGGGCTCCATGCTAGACGTGGAGCCTGCTTAAAAAATAAAGTCCCCCAGTTTTAATGGACAAAATATAGCAGCATGTGCAGTGTGTTGTACGCACAAACACAGATCACCCGTTTTTGTGAATAGAAAGCTATTAAACAGAACAGAAAAAAATGGGTTTCTTGTTGGATGAAAGCAGTAGGCATCGTATAGTCTATCCAAATTCCCATGGGGAATAACCCCATCCTGAGATGAGGAAGGCTATGGGAGGCCTCATGGCATACCTCACAATAAATTGCACCTAGGCGTGACTACCACTTATCTCAGCTTAGTATGGGGGACCCCCATTTCTGGGTACCAAACATGTCTCCCAATGGCATTCGGGCTTTTAGTACCTAATGGAAAGAACACTGGACCATGAGACATAAGAGGGCTGGGGGGTGGCTGGGTGGCTCAGACAGGTAAGCGTCCGACTCTTGATTTCAGCTCAAGTCATGATCTCAGGGTCATGAGATCGAGCCCTGTGTTGAGCTCTGCACTGGGCCTGGAGCCTGCTTAAGATTCTCTCTCCCGGGCGCCTGGGTGGCTCAGTTGGTTAAGCGACTGCCTTCGGCTCAGGTCATGATCCTGGAGTCCCAGGATTGAGTCCCACATCGGGCTCCCTGCTCGGCAGGGAGTCTGCTTCTCCCTCTGACCCTCTCATGCTCTATCTCATTCTCTGTCTCAAATAAATAAATAAAATCTTTAAAAAAAAAAAAAAAAAGATTCTCTCTCCCTCTGCCTCTGCCTTTCTCCCATGTGCTCTCTCTCTCTCAAAAAAAAGGGGGGGCTTTGGGGGAGACAGGTCCCCCATTGTGGAACAAACTGAATTTGCTTTTAATGAGGAGAGGCATTCAGAGGAAAAAATATTAGCTAGAATAAGCAGATTAGGAGTTCTTTTCCAGGGGAAAGTAAAGGCTGGGAGTCAGGCTGGATAATGAGGCTTTAGTGAAATGCATCAGGCCAAGGCAACAGAGAAGGCTGGCTGATGCCAGGGCCCAGCACCGGAAGGGGGCCTGCACCCTCAGCCAACAGAGCCTCTTGACTATTTTAATGCTGAAAGAAGGCAAAGTAGCCATGAGGCAATGGCCTTCCATACTAGCTACTGAGGCTCAAGAGCCATGCCTGTGGGAATCTTCTAGACCTGCAAACCACGTACTGTGGACACATGTACTTGAGCCCGACTACGACTGCCCTTGCTCCGGAAACAGGTAAGAAGACACACCCTGTCGTACAATTAGCAGGGACAGAACTATTCTGAATACCACCTGTGTCCTCCCCCAGGAAGGAGGTGGGCCCTGCTATGAACAGCACAAAAAGGAGACCAGTCTCTGTGCCAGGCTGTGAGCTGAGACAGGGTGACTAGCTTTCCCTCCAACCGTCTCAGAACCCAGAAATAGCAAATCATAATTTGTTGTAATAAATAATAAAATCACGGCTACCTGTAATGACGCCTGTCCATAATAGTATTTGGTATGAGGGCAAGGTTTGAGTCTACGGAGAATACCTCTCTAACTCTTCCAGTTTGTTCTGTAATGGAACTCCATTGTACTATGACCATACCAGAATATGGTCTAATACTGGTATTAGCGGTGTGATTCAACCACCTTATGTAAATAAGCCATGTGATAATACCGATATTCATGCCTGCATATGTTCGGAGGTGGAGTTAAAACCTCCTCAGGGGTCACCTGGCTGGCTCAGTCGTTAAGCATCTGCCTTCGGCTCAGGTCATGATCCCAAGGTCCTGGGATCGAGCTCCGCATCGGGCTCTCTGCTCGGTGAGGAGCCTGCTTCTTCTCCCTCTCCCTCTGCCTGCCGCTCCCCCTGCTTATGCTCTGACAAATAAATAAAATCTTAAAAAAAATTATTCTCTAAACAACGCCAGTGTGTTACCATCTCGCACTACGGCAGATATAAAGTGGAAAAAGAACGTCAGAATTACTAGAGTCTCCTACAGTCACGATTAGTCTAGTGAGCATCATCTGACCAGAACGTCTCCGGACGAGGCCACTCAGGTTTGCAGGCTTCTGTTTGCTCTGGTCGGTTCCAAAGCCGGAGAGGTCTTGGCAGTACATACATTCACCCTTTCAGGCATCTGAAACTAAGAGGCAGCATCCCTTCTTGTTCTGAGCCTCTTTTAAAGTGTTAATGTAACAGTGGATTTCTCCCACTACATTATTATTAGTCCATGTATTCACCTCTTTACCTTCAGCTACTATTTCTCCTTCTCTCCATTTACATGCAAGCTTTTCTAGCTTTGGAAAGGACCTTGCGTTCGGCTGCTGGTCCAGACTGCAGCAGCAACGCTAGTCTAGAGAGCCTCCCCGCGGTCCCCTCCGCTCACGCAGAGTGCTATCACGTGCGCTCACTTCGAGCGGGCCATTCCTACCCCTAGGCTTGAGTGAGGCTTGAACACAGCCGCTCTCAGTGACCCCATTTAGCCAGATGGGGCAAAGGCGCACCGCACCGCATCTGGCTCTTAGGATTCAGACACAGCAGCGTAAGGGTAGAGGTCCACTCTCTTACCTAGGAGTCCTCCCTGCTTCTGACACGTGTGGCTGCGGACTTGGGCCTGGCACCTCTGTATCAGGCAGGGAAAAAAGGGTGAAGTGATGTGGGGGAGAGAGAAAAAAGTACAGTCGTACCATTGTCCTCCTCCCACATGGGAAGAACCCCATGGTCATACCAGCCTCCTCTTGCCTAGATTCTCCCAGAAAAGCGGAGCAACCTATCCAGGAGGGACCCTCCCGGGAGCCCCTCACGGTGAGTGTGAGTGCACGCTGGTGAAGCTGCGTCGGCCAGCCCTGCTTGTCTGGATCTCCCCGTTTCAGACAGCCAATGTTTTCATGGTCCATTCCAGCTCTCTATCGAACCATGGCTCGGAGGATGAAAGTGAGTTCCCTGGAAAAATGTAACTCAGTGGTCCAAATCGGTGCGGTATCTTCTGGTCTGGTCCTATGACAGTATTTTGAGCATTTATAGCGACACCTAGCGCAGAGTGCGGGCTCCCGCCCGGGTCTCACCAACCAACTCCATGTGTGTCCTTTCCCCCAGGGAACCTGCCCTGTAGCCCATCTCTTTTGTTGACAGAACAGCTTATTGGCATTTTGTGCCTCAGGGGGCGCAAGGGCCATGCATCTAGATCCAGCCCACCTCCCAACATCCCATCGGTTCACGACCCCACGTGGCATCCTCACGTGAACACACT